ACATATACATACAGAGAGACACACACACACAGACACATACACACAGAGAGAAGCATACACACACAGACACATTTAGACATGCACACATACACACAGAGAGACACATACACACACAGACACATACACACAGATACATATACATACAGAGACACTTACACACACACACAGACACATACACACAGACACATACACACAGATACATATACATACAGAGACACTTACACACACACAGACACATACACACAGATACATATACACACAGAGAGACACACACACAGACACATACACACAGATACATATACACACAGACACTTACACACACACACAGAGACACACAGACACATACACACAGAGAGAAGTATACACACACAGACACATTTAGACGTGCACACATACGCACACACAGACATGAGCACCTATGCCCATACTCATGTATACGCATGCACAACCTATCTTTTTCTCCCCATCTGTGGTGTGTGTGTGTGTGTGTGTGTGTGTGTGTGTGTGTGTGCCCACTGCCTTTCCACCTCCCCAGAAGCTGAGACCCCCAGGTCACTGACCCTGGCAGGAGACAGTTACTGTTCTACATTGCTGATGAATAGGTGAGCATCTATAGATGTCAGACAGGTGGCCTCAGCAAGCTAAGGTGCTAAGCAGAAACCATAAATCACAAAAGGCCTGTCTCTACCCACTGAGATCTGAGGGAATATCAGTTCACAATGCCCAGCTCCTCCTCGTCCAGCCAGGGCTCGGTACAGTGGCCAAGGGTCTGTTATATGACAACTATGGAGGAGGTGGTTTTGTGGCTGAGCTGGCTAGTCAGAAGCCAGGTGGTCAGGAGTGACCTGAGGATGCTTCAGGCACACCGCAAGCTCAGGTAGCCTGGCCTGTCGCCAAGACTGAGGAGGCTTCTCTAAGAACTGAGGCGGAGAAAATTAGTGACAGGAAGGATGGGTCAACAGAAATAAAACAGCCCTGAGTTGCAAGATGAATGGTAAGGCCTCCAGCCAGCTGCTCAGAGATGCATCTCAGAGAAGAGCTGACCAGCAAGGGCTGAGGCCTGGGAGGCCTTACAAACCTAAACTTTGGGGCCTGGGAAGAAAAAGATCACACAATTCAAATGCAAAAATGTCACCCAGCAGGAGGAGACTGTGATGGAGGAGGGTAGCCATTGTTTGTGAGGGAGGGAAAGGTAATCTTGATTAACTCTGGTTATCTCATTCATAGCTTACCAAGTCATAGGACTTGCAATGTAGCACTAGGGCCCTTCTGGAGGTTTTTTTAGGTTTACAAAGAGGGGGAGATCTGTGCAAGGCAGAACCCTGAAGCAGGCTTCATGGTGCATTGGCCGACATGATTGACTGGAGGCCCAGGAGGCACATAGCATGACCAGTATGAACTCAGGCACAGGCTAAGGGAGAAGGGTGTGAGCAGGAAGCAGTGCTTTATAAAGCTCACCAGCTGTTTCCCAGGGGCCTGAGAATCCTGGAAATGGGAACAGAAAGACCAGAGTGTGTACAGGTGGAGCCAAATCAAAGGCTTCACTGCAGCGACCTTCCGTAGCCCCTCAGGAGCCCTGGATGGGGCATTCCACCTTGTGCAGTGTTCAGATCCTGGGGTTTGATGGAAGGGCAGAGAGTCGCCCAGACTGGAGACACTGGTCTTGCTCCTGACCCTTCTTTGGTCTCTAGGAAAGTTATTTGCTATGGAGTCTTAGGCAACTCGAGTCAGTGCTGAGCAAACCCCACCAACTCTCAGGCCTGGGCTTGCAGTGGTCTGACTTACTGGGAGACAGCGAAGGACTCCGGGACTTTACACAGGAAAAAGGTCCTTACCTGAGAGCACGAAGGCGGTCACAAAGAGGAGTCCCAATACCATGGTGCTAGAGTTTAAAAAGAGAAGATAAAACTTAGTTAGAAAGTGAGATAGAGAACATCCGTTCACCAAAGCACGACCTAGAGATGGTGTTTGGAATTCATGCGGCCCCGGGTGTGGCAGAGTCAATGCTGAATACTCACCGGCAGCCGTTTTTACCCTTAGCTCCACACACAGGCCTTATTACCCAGCCTCCTCTGCGGTGGGGCTGGCCATGCAACTGGGCTCTGACCAGAACTGTGGGCAGAAAAGATAGCTGCCGCTTCCAAATACAGTAACGGAGGCCTCCTCCCTCATCCCCCTCCTTCTTCCCTCCTCTCTCATCTTCCTTCCTAGATTCAGGAAATTCCGAGGAAAAGTTCAAGGGCAGAAAAGATGGCCAAGTCTCACAAAAGCAGAGACCTGGTTTTTAGAATGAAGTCGTAAAGCGGTGCTCTTTGATCTTCCCACCCTCCCCACCCTCCCCACAACTGATCTGAACTGAGTAGCATTAACAAGATGCGCTTGATATCGCGCAATGAGGCTGTGGGACAACCAGCCACAGAGCATAGCTCCTCCCTTTCCTCGAACAGTGCAGGATGGGGTAGCAGGGCTGGGGGATGTGAAGGAGCACAGACATTTAAGTAAAATCAAACTTCCTTTGGTTTTCCTGGGGTTTTCAAACTAAAGTGTGTATAAAAGTAGGCCAGAGATCTCGTTGAAACGCGTTCCTCGGCTGTGCACTGAGAATCTGACAGGCAGTTGAGAAGAAGCCTAAATTTAACAATTCCCAGGGCCGCACTTTGAGAATTACTGCGTGGCACATCCGCTTCATTCATAAAATAATCCGAGGAGTGTCACACGTGGCTTTATAACATCCAGCCCCCCAACCTTTTCTCCCTGCTTCTCTGCTCACTCACTCACCATAGACCAAGCTGACTGTGGGGCTTACAGGAGAGACAGGATAAGGGCCGACGTTAGAAAACGGTGGGAAACAAGCTAGTTAGAGCAGTTTGGAGCAGATCCCAAGACAAAGCCAATGCTAAATGCGTACTATGAAAATATGCCACCTTCCTGTTGCCTGCAAGATGTAACAGTCTCAGCTCCAGCACCACCTCTGCCTGAACACCTCATGCTCCCTTACTTGATAATGAACTGAACCTCTGCAACTGTTAAGTGAGTCCCCTCCCCGACACTTAAATGTCTGCTTTATAAAAGTTACCAGAGTCTCTTAACAGCCATAAAATCTCAAAGACAGAAGTTAAAAAAAAAAATAAGAAAAAGAAAATATGCCACCGTGTATTGAGTTTGACTTGGAGCTTTTGAAATGGCCAACATGAGAAGGAAAACCCAGCAGGTGGATTAATACCTGGCTTTGTGCATAAAAGGGAACTGGTGAATAGGGACAAAATGCTATTATTTACTCGACGGCAGAGATTTCTTCCTTGGAGAGTGGATTGTCGAAAGCCGTCCTCCGTCCTTCAGGCTGTGTGTGCAGCCTCCCTTCTGCTCTCAAGGCGTTTATCACAGAATCACGGTCTACAATGTGTTGTGTCTGTGTGTGTATGTGTGTGTGTGTATGTGTGTGTGTGTGTGTCTGTGTGTGTGTGTGTGTGTCTGTGTGTGTGTGTCTGTGTGTGTGTGTCTGTGTGTGTCTGTGTCTGTGTGTGTCTGTGTGTGTGTCTGTGTGTGTGTCTGTGTGTCTGTGTGTGTCTGTGTGTGTGTGTGTGTGTGTGTTTTAATCCCTCTAGATTATAATTTTTTAATCAAGAACTTTTAGAGATTATTCCTGCACATAGCACAAAAATTTAAAAGTAAAGGTGATTCTTGGGCACAGTAATACATGCATTTAATCCCAGCACTTGGGAGGCAGAGGTAGACATCCACATATCTCAGTAATTCCTTGGCCAGGCTTGTCCACTCAGTTTTAAGCTAGCAAGGGTCCATAGTGAGACCTTGGTGTGTTTGTTTGTATTAAAGTTAAGTGATGTATTTAATTAATCTTCTTGTTGTCACAACAAAACATCTGACTAAAAAGCTCAGAGTTTTGGGATCCAATCCACGGTAGCAGGGAAGGCGTGGGGGTGGGAGCTCAAGGCACCTGGTCACATGGGACCCTCAGCCAGTAAGCAGAGAGAGAGGCTGGTGCTCAATTAGCCTTTTCCTCTCTATTCAGTCTGAGAGCCCAGTCCATGGAGTGGTGCAGCCCACATTTAGGATGGGTTGCCCTACTTTAATTAACCCAGTCTAGAAACTCACTTACAGACACACTCAGACATGTCTCCTAGGTGACCCTCGATTCTGCCAAGTTGGCAGCCATTATTAGCTATCCCAGTGATAAAGAGTAGGAAGCAAGTCTCTCTCAGTTCTGGTCCCTGACCATCGAACTTCCTTCCACGGATGGCCTGGAATGACCATTGTCGCCTCTTACGGTTTCTTGTCTTTACTTAGAGTTATTTTAGACAAAAAGCCAAGCCCCCCCCAAAAAAAAAGACAAAACAAAAGAACAACAAAATAATAATACAGATCCATATTAGCAGATTGGGGATAATTTTATAGCCGTATTTCTTAGCACCCTCATATTAATAGTTGCATATTATTCTGTTCTAGTCTATTGGCTACAAATAGTCATCTGACAGATATTTCCGCTGTTCCCAATGTTCTGTTGTAATGAAAACCCCAATCAGTCCCCCACCTGCAGAAACTGGTTGTTTCCCAGAAGTAGAATTGCTTGGCCAAGAGCTAAAGAGAGTGCCATTTTAGCTTCTATGGATAGAGACCTGCTGCCCGCCCCTCTATACATTAAAACTTCCACCAACAGGTGACTGCTTATTTTCACACGCTTTTTATTTGTTTGTTTCCTAATCTGTGATCTGTACCATCTACAGACTAAAGTGACACGTCACTATAAATTTTTGACAGTTCTGGGAATGAACTGTGTTCGTTCCAGGCAAGTGTTCCATTAACCTAGGTCCTCGGGCCTCTCATTGACATTTTTTTAACAACAGCATTTAGATGTGGTAAAACACACACAAAGTTTACTAAACTGATCTTTTTCAACTGTGCAGTGGCATGTAATAGATACACATTGTGGAGTCACCAACGCCTTTATCTCCTGAAGTCTTTTCGTTTTGCAAGATAGAAACTCTGGACTCAGTAAACAGTGGTTGTTCCTTCTTCCTTTCTGTCAGCCCTCTCCAATATCACCTTCTGTCGCCATGGATCCGGTTTCTTTAGATGTGAGTGGGAATCTTACAATATTTAGCTCAGTGCCGTAGAGACCCTTCCATCAGGAATCATCCGTATTATCGCGCCTGCCAGAATTTCCATACTTTTAAAGATGCTCACACTGCATCTAGCTTATCAGCTCCTCTGCAGGTGGCTGCTCGAATCACGTTCACCTTCTGAGACCCGTGAAGAACCCTGCTGTGACCGTGGACATACACATTTCTTCCCAGTTTTCTGCTTTCACTTCTTTAGACTTAAAACCAAGAAGTGGAAGAGGAGGTCATATGGAAATTCTATTTTAAACTCTCTGAGGAACCACTGTGCAGCAGTACTCGTTCACATTCCCACCAAAGGCACCCAGGGGCTGACTTCTCCACATCTTTGCCAACACTTTTCTGATTTGTCTTTCAAAGTCCAAGCCATCCTTATGAGGTGAGGTGATTTCCACTGTCATTTCAAAACTAATTTTTCTCATGAATCTGAGCAGCTTATCAAATGATTAAGACGTGCATATTTCTTATTCCATGTGCTCATCATATTTATTATTATTTTATCATTATTACTATTATTAAGTCTGGCTTTCTCTTGCTGAACTGTAAGAGCTTCGCACATATAGAAAACTAGCAGAAGCTAAAACAGTAGCTGTTCGATATATGAACCAAAAGTCTAGTGCCCAGTACCTGTCTCCTTCTTTCCTTCCCTCTTGTAATGAACTTTAGGGGGTTTATTAATATTATTAATTAATTATTTTCATTTATTTTACATCCCAACCGCAGTTTCCCACTCCCCCTCTCCTCCCTTCTGTCCCTCCCCCATCTACTCCTCCTCTGTTTCTGTTCAGAAAGGGGCAGGCCACCCATGGGTCTCAGCAAAACACAGAACATCAAGTTGAGGTAGGAATTGCTCCTCCCTTTGTAGTAAGGGTGGGCGGAGCATCCCAGTGTGGGAAATAGGTTTAGCATTGTCTGCTGAACTCAGCTGACATGGTATGAGGGCAAAGCCTCGGAACCTGGACCCAACTTTTCACACTAAGTCCCTCACACCATCCTATTTACCATGGATTGAAGGCTGGGGCCTCTTTCCATCTGAATTCCTACCTACAGGATTCTGTTTTAAAACCAGAAAAAAATCAGTACATTTAACCTAAACAAAGAACTTTTCTCTGCCTGACATGACAAGCAAACAGGGACACAAAGTCAAATTATGCTTTGTTATAAACTTAACAGACTAGCTTAACTCAAATAATCACATAAAACCATGATGGCAGTGGCACTCAGTTTTTGGGTTGCAACCCTTTTGAGGGTGAAATAACTCGATCACAGGGGTAACCTAAGACCCCTGAAAATGTCAGATATTTATGATCCATAACAGTAGAAAAATTATAGCTAAGAAGTAGCAATGGAAATAACTTTGGTGTTGGGTGTTACTACAACACGAAGAACTGTATTAAACAGTCCCAGCATTAGGAAGCATCATGGCTTTGGGGAATCTTGAACAAATGGATTCCTGTAACTTAGTGGGTGGGACAAAGCTCTGCTCCTGCCCCTGCCCAGGAAGTCCAGGCTGATACAAACCTCTCCCTTTGGAAGCCTTGTCTTTCCCTGAGCAGAAGAAGAAGCCTCCTGTACTTCTTTGCATTGATTGGTACCAGTTTTGTTGAGTGTATTTTGCTTTTGTTTTTGCAGGGTGAGGATTTGAGACAGGGTCTTGCTCTATAGCTCAGGTTTGCCTCAAATTCAGGACCCTTCTTCCTCAGTCTCTCTAGTACTGGGATTATAGATTTCCATAACCATACCCAGC